TACGCGAAACGTGGAAATCGTCCGGAAAATAGTCGCGAAACGTGGAAATCGCCAACAAAATATACACTAAATGTGAAAATCGTCTACAAAATATTCGCGAAACGTGGAAATTATCAACAAAATATTCGCGAAATGTATCCTTTATACACTCTCGAAATATACGCGAAACGTGGAAATCGTCCGGAAAATAGTCGCGAAACGTGGAAATCGCCAACAAAATATACACTAAATGTGAAAATCGTCTACAAAATATTCGCGAAACGTGGAAATCGTCCACAACATATTCGCGAAATTTGAAAATCGTTCGCAAAATATTCGCGAAACGTGGAAATTGTCCACAAATATTCGCGAAATTTGGAAATCGTTCGCAAAATATTCGCGAAACGTGGAAATCATCAACAAAATATTCGCGAAATTTGAAAATCGTTCGCAAAATATTCGCAAAACGTGGAAATCGTCAGGAAAATATTCGCGAAACGTGGAAATTGTCCGGAAAATATTCGCGAAACGTGGAAATCGCCAACAAAATATACACTAAATGTGAAAATCGTTTACAAAATATTCGCGAAACGTGGAAATCGTCCACAAAATATTTGCGAAATTTGAAAATCGTTCGCAAAATATTCGCGAAACGTGGAAATCATCAACAAAATATTCGTGAAATTTGAAAATCGTTCGCAAAATATTCGCAAAACGTGGAAATCGTCCGGAAAATATTCGCGAAACGTGAAAATCGTCTACAAAATATTCGCGAAACGTGGAAATCGTCCACAAAATATTTGCGAAATTTGAAAATCGTTCGCAAAATATTCGCAAAACGTGGAAATCGTCAGGAAAATATTCGCGAAACGTGGAAATTGTCCGGAAAATATTCGCGAAACGTGGAAATCGCCAACAAAATATACACTAAATGTGAAAATCGTTTACAAAATATTCGCGAAACGTGGAAATCGTCCACAAAATATTTGCGAAATTTGAAAATCGTTCGCAAAATATTCGCGAAACGTGGAAATCGTCAACAAAATATTCGTGAAATTTGAAAATCGTTCGCAAAATATTCGCAAAACGTGGAAATCGTCCGGAAAATATTCGCGAAACGTGAAAATCGTCTACAAAATATTCGCGAAACGTGGAAATCGTCCACAAAATATTTGCGAAATTTGAAAATCGTTCGCAAAATATTCGCGAAACGTAGAAATCGTCCACAAAATATTCGCGAAATTTGAAAATCGTTCGCAAAATATTCGCGAAACGTGGAAATCGTCCACAAAATATTCGCGAAATTTGAAAATCGTTCGCAAAATATTCGCGAAACGTGGAAATTGTTCAGAAAATATTCGCGAAACGTGGAAATCGTCCAAAAAATATACGCCAATCGTGGAAATTGTCCACAAAATATACCCAAACTATGTAAATCGCCCAGAAAATATTCGCGAGACGTGGAAATCGTCTCATTTTCAGATCCACAAACTCGGTCCCGAGTTGCTCGAAGGCTTCCTCGTTCATTAGCGTTTGATTCACCATAACTTCATAGGTGTGTGCAGGTTGGTAAACGTTTTATGGCGGCTCGTCAGGGCAAGTGTTATCAGCGGCGACATCGAAATCTTGAAAATCGCCGCTAATGAACGTCATGCTTAGTTGGCTCGATTGATATTCATAGTCGCGTTCCGATATGCGAACAGGATACGCCGGAATAGATCCTCTGTACGCGATAACGTAACGAGTTACGTTAGCGGTAATAATTAACAAGCACGTTGACCCATTTACAAGTGCATTTAATGGGGTAGCCGGTTAACGGCCCTCGATCCTCTCTTCATCCTCTTCGTCTCCGCTTATCGTCCACTTGTCTACTCTTATTCCAGCCTTCTGGTTGATCCTCGACCAAGAAAGGGTTGAAAAATCGTCGACAGACCAGGGAAGAGATTAGTATTATAGCATTTAAACAGAAAAAACAGTCACTTCGCTTACAATGTGGCCAACTTTTGGCTTCGTTTGCTGCAAAAAACCTATCCTTGGTAACGAGCTTTAATCTGCACACCAGAAAAACGATTCCTAGAAGACGTGGCTAGCAATGGTGCACGGATATTCGGTGTACAGAGCGAAAAAACCGTGGAAAAAGTTGACTCCGCTTGTAACTCCCAGGATTAGGCCCCAACACTTCGACGAGGGTGGTTTACGACGTGCTCGAAGGGTTGAGACACCGTGGATTACCCTTTCACGCTCCTCTTCTCCCTTTTTCCCTTTTTTGCCAATAGTCAAGCTGCGGGATTAGCAGGGAAGCCTGGAAGTGTCAATATGTACTGTAAATATTCGAGGAGCCAATAATCGTTCGTGAACAATACCGTAAAGCAATAGAATTAACCATGGCCGACGTACCCTGATCGAGTTATTCGAATAATAGAAATTCGATATCCATTTACTTAATCCGAATAACGCATGCGTCAAATGCAGTATTTGCAACTTCGTTTACGTGTTATAAATGAAAATATTTTCATTTCCAGATTCCACTTGGTGTCATCGACAGTGGCAACCGATGTAAACGAAAGGGTTTATGGCGTTGTTGAGAAGTTGCACGTGTAAAAATCGCCGGGACCCCGCGTTTCCCGATAATTGCACCAAACAGTCTCGTTATTGAAGGTAAGGGAAAAAAGGGGAAATGCGAGGGACCGAAAGGATTTAGTCGATTATCGTGTCTTTAATGACGGTCGTGCTTCGAAGGGTTAGAAGCGATAGCAGGAAGAACTGGCCGGGGCGTTTGGCGAACAATGGCGGCACATGCAGTCGCCGAAACTTGATTTGGCTATTGAAGAACGGATAGGTGGGTCGGGATTCGGCGAATTGGCCAAATGGAATCAACGTGAGTGTCCAATTGGAAACTTTTGTTGCACGTTCGCCAACGGGTATCCGCTTTAAACCGTTTCGAATTTTTGCGGCGAGCCGACGCCGAGGACATGTCTATTCATCATCTCGCGAGAGCCTTCGAGTGATAATCAATTTTCCAGGGGGATAAGAGGTTATCGCGTGTTTTCCGCGAAACGCAATGAAGCGCGAACACCTCCTCGCTGATATAGTGCCTTCGTCGGAATAATAATTAGCGGTTAATGCACCGGAGACCATGCGCGCATAGCGGCGTCATTTGTCCCATTAGAGCTAGACGGTGTAACGCGTCAGTCATATTTTACCATGGATTCCTAATTATAAACTTCCATGGAACAGACGGTACGACTGGGATTCCGCTAATAGCCCGGGCAATTTAGAACCGCTAGACCCCCTGCCAATATTGCATCGAAAAGCGTTGAAACGTCGCGGAAACCTTTCGGTCGAACCATTAATCCGTATTAAGGACACGAATGCGGTCCGGGCGTGGTAAATATATGGATCGACGGAGTTTCTGCAAACGCAAATCCGGGTAATCGACGGATTCAAAGCCGTACGACTGATCTAATGCGTATAAGTACAGCAAGAAGAAACTAAATAACTCTAATTTCCATTCCAGAAATTTATTATATTAATTTTGCCAGCTGTAGATTAACATTTCCAGTAACTGGAGAAACACGAGTCCAGTTTATTTGCGCAATTTTGATTTCTCATTAGATCATTTTGTATAGTATTATTACAGTCAGAGAGTGCAGAGTAGGTACATAACTGGGTGCTTTTGCCTTACACTGGATTTCACAGTTCTAGTATTAATCGAAGTAGCATAACAAACATAAATATAATATCGTATTAATCAAAAAATAATTTAGCTTTACTAAATGACATAAATCATTTCTTAGACACTATTTGCATGAAAAATGAGCCATGACCTGGTACTCGATTTAGCATATACATGTATAATCGCAGGCGGGAAATCTCGGGATTGGCAGCGCGAAAAGTACCTGCATTCGGTAACTGTAAAAACTAAAATCTGCTACCGGTGATCTCGACCAATTCGGTAGTGCTAGCGTGAACAGATCTATCGAGATCCTCGAGCACGATACCCGAATCTCGCTCCAAGGATTGCGCAACGCGTGGAGGAGCAGGCTCGATGATAAAAATGAAAAACGAACGGGTCGGAGAGAGACACCGTGAAGAACGCTCTCGCTGGACTGTGTAGAATGTATCCTTGATGGCTGCCACTCGTTCGTCGTCCTGTACGCCGGTTCACTGACACCGCTGTACCGTCAAGGAGTCCGACACTGTCAAGGTCCGCCGGTTCTCCTCAATGGCGTCGGTCTGTCACGCAATTTACCTACGGTAATCGACACGCCTTACCGCGAAGGACGCTCCTACTTACGTCCTTACGCTCCTATGACATAGTTCCTTCGCCGTTTCCACCATTCTCTTCTCGCGGAAATCTGTAATTTAACGACGAAACCGCCGTACTCCGTTGTCTGGTCCAATTCGCAGCACCCTTTGCAAAAGAGACTCGTAACCGTGTAGAAGCGACCTCCAATGTGATACTTAAGGGCCATTAAGTCCGCGGCTGAGGTTACTCGCGTTTCTCCGTTCCAATTTGCGTACAGCCACCAGTGCCTTTACAATCTCGTCGAGGTGTATGAAACGCGTTTATGTTAATAAATGCCCGTCGCTATTAGCAGGTTTGTCCGAATCAAAGGCGAGACCATCGTAAAGCGCGGTCTCGTTTTATAGCGTAAGCAGAAGTGTTTTGAAAGGAGTTGATCGAGCATCTGCAGGGAACATATGTTGCCGTCGTGTTTCGTGAACCATCGGAGAATCGATTTATAACCCGGAAATCAAAGCTTACGGGGATATTTTTTCTCATCACAGTTCATCCGACTGGTAGACTCATCTCGATGGAACCTTTTCCCAGAGGTTGCCAACTTTGCCTTCCTCTTGCACGATAATTATCCCTGTTCCGAGAGCGGACGGTCGAGTAACCTCTGAAAATCCAATCGCTTTTCACCCTCGTCTTCCATATGGTGCAACCCTTCACGGACTCGAGAGGCTACCATAAACGCCCCGGAATTGAAAGCACCCGTGAAAATCGTAATCCACGATCCACTTGGCAGTGTTTCGGTGCTCTTTAACGCGTGGTTATCCACGTGTAACGAACCCAAGTTCGAGGGGACATCCTACATAGCGCGGTTGGCCTTGTCCAAGGATCCTGTTAGAGGCAGTAAAAGTCAAGACTTGAGTTTGAGAACACTGGTGGTAGTACGATTCGTGTAACGATGTGCAAATGATCTTTAATGTATACATATGTGGTCACTTACGTGTAACAATTCCTACTTCACGGAGTACTTCGCATAGTACAGTTAGGTCGCAACGAAACTCCTCGAAGGCTCTCGTTATCGGTAATAAAATTCGAAGAAATTAGGTTCAAAAACACTGGCGGAAATCGAAATCTACGATTCGTGTGATGCTGTGCAAATGTCCTGCAATGCATACATATGTGGTCATTTGCATAAAACGACCCCTACTTGGAGGAGTACTCTACATAAGTACAGTTAGCTCGGAACAAACCTTCTCGAATATTCTTATTGTCTCTTATTATCAGATATACGAATTCTCTAGAATCTTTTCCAATTTGCAAGCGATGCTTGACGCATGCGCGGTTGTCCAGACGTAACAGAGCCTACTTCAGGGTGTATCTCGTACAGTGCAGTTAAGTCGAAACAAGGCTTCTCGAAGGATCTTGTTATTGGTAGTAAAAGTCAGGGTTTAAAGAGCGGCTGGAGAATTGTTCGCTCGCACTTTCTTCGACGAGCCCTTCCGTATATTCGGTCGGCGACAATGGCGAGCTTTAAATCGTCCCACACGTAGCATACTGTACAATCGGTACCGCAAGTTCCAGAGACACGACTTACTTGGTTCACTTTTGCTGGTTAACGGTAAGTCCGTCAAGAGTCAGTGAGTCAACGAGTCAACGGGGGCGCACACTGGTCCCCACGCACTCGCTCGATTGCTCGAGAATCGATCTTCCTACGTGCATGCACGCTTACCTATACGCATCCTTTTCTCTTCTTCTTTCTTTCTCCGTGGCCACCGTTCTTCTTTCTCGCTCCGAACCTCGCCACGTCCATCCTTCCCTTCTCCTCTACCTTAGTTATCCTTACCCGTGCACTTGTTAGATGACGCGAGTCTTACGTGTCCATCGCGTCCCGTCTAGTCTCTTTATTTTCATTTTTCCTCCGTCTTTTTCTTCCTTCTCGCAATTTCAGTTCTCTCCCTTCCTCTTTCAACGGTCTACACTTGCCCGCAGAGGTCTATTAACGTATCGGAACAAGGCCGTTCCTGGTTTAAAGTGTCCGCTTTATATCTTTCCCCGCTTGTCTCTTGCTTTTCCTTTTTCGTTCCTTCGTATATTAACGCGGCTCGTATTTTTATCCAACAGCACGCCTTTTTCGAGGTCAACAGCTCGAGTGCGAGTGTGTTCGATTCCATTATCTTTGTATCACAATGAAGATACGTATTTCGGTTGCTCGTCCAGCAAAGCGTCGTAAAGCGTAGGCCGTGGAGTTTCTTCTTTTGCTTTTTCGTGTATTCCGTTATTATGACGCCTGCCTCGTATTTGTTCGCATGAAAGAGGATTTTTATGGGCTCGGAGGATTCTCATTCGAAGTGAAGCTAATTAAAGTGCAAGCAAGGATGGAGATAATGGCAGGAAAGATGAAAAGAAGAGCGAGCAACGCGACTACAGCAAGAACTCACCGAGACCGAGATAACTGTATTCTACCTCCACTGTGTTTTGTCCTTTCTCCCTTCCTCCGTGTCCTTTCGTGCTTCCTTTTCATTTCGTATCCTTCGCGTCCGGGACGGAAGATCCTCGACTCTCTCTTACCTTGAAACATCATTCTTTCATCTTCTCTTTCTCTCCTTCCTTCTCCTGTTTTATGGCTCCAATATTATTGCCGCCGTGTCTGGATATATAATTATTTTATTACGATCCTGTTTCGACCGTGCAATTATACCTGTACGAACGAGATTAACGAGCTTCGAATCGTCTGGATTGTAGAACGATCGACGAATAATCGAGACAGGTCGGCTTCCAGTCGATTACATAACCTCGGAGACCTTGTTTTCAATGCTCGAAATATCCCACGTTCCCCTGCTTTGTACGACAATAATCTCACGATTCTTCTCGTTGTACAGCATGTTGTCATAAAAACTGAAAATTTGGAATATTTAAAAATCGTGGAATAACAAACGTGTAAAATGCAAATCGCATTTCCGACTGTCTACTATTTCTAACCTACAATTTTTCAACATTAAGATATGTTCTTAACGTCTGTAATACCATTTCTAAAGCATCTTACGTATCTCATAAATTCTTCGAACGAATCGGTTATCGTTTCCAATCGTAGGAATCTCCGATCGTATACCTGTCTCTTGCCCGTATCTCTGCACGATCGTTTCGATCGAAGTGAAGGTAACGCTCGAGCGAAGTGATTTTCCCGCGAATTCCGATCGTGCCCGAAGCGCCATCGCGTAGAGTCGTGAAAAAAAAAAAATGGCGCGGATGAGCGTGATCGGTGGATGTCGCGGAATGAATCGGGAACGAGTAGGACGTAACCGGACACCGTCTGGCCGACGAGAAATTAACGGCGAATGACGTAAACGATACGACTCACAGATGAGAGAGTCTGGCGTTTTCCATTTCACCGGTGCGCTCGCAGAATTTCCCTCCGGGTTGTTCACTTTTCACCTCGGTCAACGAGTGCATATGCCCCGCATGATGCGATTGCGTCGACTATCAGCATACGACGTGCGTATGAGCGATACTTTCGATCCTGAGTGCTGATTCCGTATCGATTTCCGAGACGAGAGCTATTCAACGTTTCGAAGATCGTGGCCCGATGGATCCGACGAATTAGGTAACGATCGCCGTGCGATATTTCTTTCTCATTTTTATTCACAGTCGATTAATCGACGATGACTAGATGCCTGGCGTGGGAATAGATTATCTTTCGGTTATCGGAAGCACGCGTTACGCGTTCTCGAGTGGTGTACAGTTCGTGGCGTCGAAGCGACGAGTGGACTATAGCAAAATCGAGACGCGTCGTTTCGTTACGGAGAAACGTCTTATTCGAAGCCGGTGTCGTATACACCGTTGCATACTTTTCGTACGTCAGACTTTAACGACGTACCACGCTTGGATTATACCCGGTATACAGATTGAAGCCGGTAAGAAACAGCCGGACCAAAGATGCTAGAACACGATCCGAAGCTTTAGAAGCAAGCTAGATAGTCGGTCGATTAAAGTCCATCAAACTCGAACGACCTAATTTCCGGATAGTAACCCTTCCCCTCCCCGAGAGATGACGCAACCTGCCGGTGTCCAGGTTTCCTCGTTCCCGACGCCGCGAGGCTCTCAGTGGGGGCTGAACCGGAGGAAAAGCACGAGGAGGCATCGAGCATTCGACCGACTGAAATGCCGTCCACGTTGTGTAGCTGCGACGCCGACTATACATACATAGCTATTCGCATGGTAATAATTCGATGACAGGGTTCGGTGGCGCGGTCGTGGTCGCGTTGGCGCGCACGCGCATAAGCACGCGCACGCGCACTGTTCCACAGTCCGTTGCGTGGCTGGTCGCCGCGAACTACGCACACGGACACGCGCAGCAGCACGAAACGGACACACGGGTAGAGGGACGCGTAGCAGCAGCACGAAACGGACACCCGGGTAGAGGGACGCGTTTTCAGCAGGCAACACAAGCCGTGTGCGAGGCTGAGAGTGGGTTCATCGGACGCCAGCGGCCGCGGATTTACCGTTACGTCTTCTTGGCGAAACCCAGAGTCCACACCGGCGAGCTGCTTCTTCCTTCTTTCTTCTGCCACGTTCTTCACCGAGCCGTTCCTCCCCCTCTCCGTGCCTTCTGTTTCTACGACTGAATTCCAGCAGCCGCCGGTCAGCAGTTCCTTCGACGAGAACCGGAAACGCAAATGTGTCCCTCCCGTCTCGGGAACTGGCCGACCGACCGAGCAACTGCGAGCACTGCTGATTTTCCGGGTCACGGAACCAGTTGTTTTCGGATTTTGCTTCTTTATTACCACCGCCGGTCTCTCGGTCCGCCATTACGCGTTGCGTCTGCACGATCTGATCAACGGCGTATCTGTTTCCGTATACCCTTCGTCTCTCTACGCTGCGATCGTAATCTCGATACAAACACGACACATAGGTGGTCGTAGTCGATTCTCCCAAGCTGATTTAAAAGTCTAGGAACAGGGCGTTGCGGAATTTAAAGATCGTGGAATTCCTAGTGTCAAGGTTTCCTGGTCACTCGACCGACCTGTTTGTTTCTCCTTCGCCGTCTCTTTCTCTCTCGCCCGTCATCGTAATACATCGAATCTGCGCAGCGGATTGTCGTCATTGGGAGAAAATGAGAAGCGCGACCGGTCGAAAGATGACATCAAGGAAAGTCCGGGGTTTGTAGAATTCGGAGGTCGTTGTCCCCTCTGTTCAAGGTTCTCTGAGTCACGTGTAAGATTCCGGCCACGCTTCGACCAATCTGACCTGGAGCGTGTCGCGAGTGAATCAATCCGCGACGTTCTACCTGGGGAAAAATACCTTCCCGATTATTGCCAAGTCAATGACAAATCTATTATACGTGTACCATTTTTTAATTTTTCTTTTTTCTTTTAACTCTACCGGTTGGGAGACGAATTTAAATTCGCTCGTTGTTTAACGGTTAAACAAATTGAGGCTTGAGAGCAACTCTCTACGTTGTTGTGATGTTTGGGGTACTTTTGGGTCAAGAAGGGTGGGCAGTATCAGATATCGAGTAATCGTTTGGTAGGTATTCCTGGAATGCTAACGAATTATGACGAGGTCTACGAAATTACAGCGAACACGTACACTCGCGCATGAAAGTATTCGAACGTTCACGTACGCTGTTTTGTGTACATAACAAGGCGGAACTTTCGAGGTTACGTCAGTAAAATTAGAAAATAATTCAACGATATACACTGTAATTAGTATTTACTATTCAGCGAATCACAAAACTATAGGTAATTAACGTTGATCTCAAGACGACTTTGCATTTAACTCACTAGCGCCACCACGGTCCATATCTCCTATGAACGTAATGTAATGTAAATAATGCGGAGATACGATCTCGGAATTCCATCTCCACTACTACATTGTTTTAAACAGTTTGAATACTCGCGCGTACGAGTGTATTTGTTCGAGATGGAATTATGAAAGCAGTTAGAAAATTCTCAGAATAGTCACGGTGATTCACACATCCGATAGATGATCCTTCTCCGCAGAAAAATTTGTAGAACCTCGCCGTAAAAGTTAACGTTGCTGGAAAATTTTAAATCGCTGGAAATAATTAAACAGCATTTTTGTTAATAGGAAATAGCGAGGATTCGAAGTTTTATCGTATCGTTGATGGAAGGATCGCATAGATTTCGAGGAATCGTGGCGGCGAACGAGTTCCGTTGTACAGGGATCGTGGAACGGACGAGTTCCCGAGACGTGTTTTTCTCTGCGAAAGGCTAAGGCCACCTGTGCAGGGCCCCCAACCTTCTACTTTACTTTCTTCGCGGTTCCGTTAAATACCCGACACCGAACGCGATCGCAAATCCAGGTGCGGAGGTCAACTTGCGTCAGGTTAGGGTTTCTCCCCGCTATCCGTGCCTCTGTCACGCATGCATGCGTACTCGCACAGGTGCCACTACGTCGGACCGGGTTACTTTTTCCTCGAAGCCGCGATAACAGCCGATCAGCGACGCGTGCCCCGCGAGGATTATTCGACTGCTAACGACATCCGGGGAAACGTGATTTTTATAGCGGCCGCGAGATGTCAGGCCGGAGTTAATTTCCTCTCCTTTGTCCCTTGGCGCTTTGACCCTTTGAACCTTTTCCTCGTGCGTGATTCGATTATGATTTTGTTTTCAAACGTTGCTTCTGTGTACAGTTGCAGTATTATCGATGTA